GAGACTGGGGTTTTTGGTCGCCTTTGTTGTTGGTTTGAAGTCCAAAGATTCGTTTGCTCTCCGGAGAATCGTTGGTGCCTTTAGTTAGGGCTTCCGCCGCCAGCTTTTCTTCCAAGGCCAGGCACGGCAACGTCAGAGGTTTATTGTTCGACTATTTATCAAACCAGGGGAAGAGAAGTCGACCCCCGTCGCTCTCTTTTACACATCTCTTCGTCGCTGTTATTTGTTCCTTCGAGATTTCGCCTGCTTCTTTTTTTTTTTTTTTTTTTTTTTGGGCTTTAACTAAGTAGTGGTTGCTCACAACTGCCCCTCTATCAATTTTCTATGACGATGAGCTTGGTCCACGATGGCGCCTAACAAAAAGAAGAAAAAAGCAGCCTCAAACCCGGCGCGAGGATTTGCTACAGTCTCTGTTCCGTCCAAGGTGAAGCCGTCGGCCTCTTCTGAGCCGGTAGGGCCTGAAGAAATTGCCCATAAACCCGAGGCTTTGGCAGAGAAACCGCCCACTGGAGATGGCCAAAACGATAAGGCCGCTGCTCAGACGGCCAGCCACAAACCAGAGCTACACGAGTTGACTCCTGACGAACTTGAACGGCACCTGGAAGAAGCTGAACTGCAGATAATCGTCGACAAGCATGGTACCAAATGCAAAGGTGACGCTGCTCGCTACTCTACCAAAATGGTGGCTGAGAGACGTCTCCTGCGTCCGCAAGCCTCACAGTTGGAGAATGTCAGTGACTGGCTCTCTCCAGATCTTTTGAATAAGATACTCGAAAAAGAGAAAGTGGAAGCAAAGAGGCAGCCTGTGATTTCAAACAAATCAGCGGAATATAATGGACAGCTCGGCCTCGCCACAGAAGAAAACACCTGTGTCAACTTGTGGATTCTTCAGCTTACGCTGTCAACACTTGGTTTCCAGGAGACTGATATCCATGAGGCATTGAAAGGCCTACTTCTACATGGGCCATTGGAAATAGTGTCTGGAAAGGACCCCATCCAGGCGCTTGACCTAGCCTTCTACTATCTGGCACTCTACCTGGACAAAGAGAAGCTAGCTCTGTATGACGAGAACAAACCGACAGAGGCAGTAGGCAAAGTCGTCACAGTTGGAGACGATAGTATTAGTATACTATCAGAAAGGATTGCCTCAGGATCCTCCAGCCCGGCAGGTCCGGCGCGAAGCAACACACCAAGCAAATCTACAGAGGCTACCTCTACACTGCTTTCCCGCCCACTGAGCCCAGACTCCGAAGGGGATAGCGGTATACATGACCCAGAAATGCTAATCCCCGAATTTCTAGCTCTTCGATCACGGCTCTATGAACTTGACCCATCAGTATTCAACAAAACGAAATCTAAAAAGGGCGTAAAACAAACCTCCAAACAGATCCAGGACCCAGGTCAGGATCCTGCTATTACTATCATTAAACGGAAAATTTCTCGTATTGAACAGGATATCCTGTTTGACTCTCACGAGGCAGAGGAGCGCTGGGCGGGGACGCTGGAGGAACTTAGACGTACGACAGGAGAGATCCTGAAAAATACACTTAACTTACCAGCAAGCACGCCTGGTACTCCCCGTACTGAGTCCCACGGGACTGAGGTAAAAGACGCTCGACCTGAGGAGGATGAAGGGATTTTTGGTGAAATGTTTGACTCGGAACTAAATGATACTGGGAGCCAGACGCTGCTTGGATCCCAAAACACCTCAACGAAATCGAGAGATTTTGGTAACACTGTGGGAGTTGGCCCAAGAAAGGTCCTGGATGATTTTTGTCACTCTAGGTAAGATACACACCGATTTCTTCATATATTAGCTCTTAACTCATACTCTACTGGCAATAGGGATACAAATGTCATATTAACATACCACAAATTATCCGACAATGCTTTTTTGCATCGCCATGCAATAGAAATTTCATGGTCAAAGGACCAAGATATCATGTTTGAGGCACCTCTCAAAGATATTTCATACAGAATTTCTCCTCGGTCATTGGTGATCGACATGACTGGTATCAGTGCTGCATCTGATGTACAGGCTGAATCGTATATTTCAACAGTTGCTTTATTCATAATATCCTCACATGCATGGAAGGACAACAAAGCATTTATAAAATTATCAGGAGTATGGAAGGAAGTTTGGGATGAGATATCATTGGAAAAGAAGGAACATGACGATCAAATTGATAGACAGGTAATCAAAACATTTAAGGGATACATCCAAGAATATGAGGCTCATATCGAGGAAGACGTTGTCCTTGTTCACAATTTCCGGCAGCGATATGGTACTGGAGATGTCACTCCTTCAACTGAAGGTACACCGAAGAGATATAACGCGGACTCCTTCTCTCCCGAGCTTCGAGCACTCTGGCACAGCCGGAGTTCATCTCCCAACTTCCAAAGGATGGCAGCGGCAAGGGCCGGACTCCCAATATGGTCATTCAGGGACCAAATAATTGATGCCCTTTCTAGTCATCAGACTATCATAATATGTGGAGAAACCGGAAGTGGGAAAAGTACTCAAATTCCTTCATTCATCCTCGAAAATGAGCTTGCAGCGGGCAAGGAGTGCAAAATTTATGTCACTGAACCCAGACGTATATCTGCAATTTCGCTAGCAAGGAGGGTCAGCGAGGAGCTCGGCGAGAACAAAAACGATATTGGGACAAATCGGTCGCTTGTTGGATATGCGATCCGGCTAGAGAGTAAATTCACAGCTTCTACACGGCTTATATTTGCGTAAGTATATTTCCTCTCATTGCTGTTGATTGATACCCTTGCTTACCGTTTTCTTAGAACTACCGGTATTGTCATCAGGATGCTAGAGAGACCCCAGGATTTCGATAGTGTTACTCATCTGGTTTTGGATGAAGTACATGAACGTACCATTGATGGAGATTTCCTCCTAATCGTACTTCGTCGACTGCTAAGCGCTCGGCGTGATCTGAAGCTGGTTCTAATGTCTGCGACTGTTGATGCCAAACGCTTCTCCGACTATCTTAATGGCGCACCGATTCTGAACATTCCGGGACGCATGTACCCTGTGGAAACAAAGTACCTAGAGGATGTCATCGAGTTAACACATTATCGACCTAACAAAGATGATTCATACACAGATGTCACCGACGACACTTCAGAGGATGAGAAGTCAGGGGCATCTGAAGATACCACTACGTTAAAGTCCACCCTTACGAACTACAGTAGACAAACCCAGTCTACAGTTATATCATTTGACGAGTATCGCCTTAATTACAAACTCATTACCGACCTCCTTTCAAGCATTGCCAGCCTCCCGGAGCTTATCGATTACAGCAAAGCAATTCTGATATTCATGCCAGGCCTTGCTGAAATACGTCGGCTTCACGATGAAATACTCTCGATCCCGATGTTTCAGAACGGCTGGGTTGTCTATAGTTTGCATTCTTCCATTGCAAGTGAAGACCAGGAAAAGGCATTCGTCGTTCCCCCGCCTGGTATACGAAAAGTGGTAATTGCTACAAATATAGCAGAGACAGGTATGTATCAGGGCTTTGCTCAAATCCAATTGACATGATCCTAAATAGCTTGTTAGGCATCACCATTCCTGATATCACAGCTGTCATCGATACTGGCAAAGAGAAGGTTATGCGGTATATAAAACACAACCCCTCCCCGCCCTTCTCCTACGTAGTATACTAATAAAAATCCTAGTTTCGACGAGCGACGCCAGATATCGAAGTTGGTTGAAGTTTTTGTTGCCCGTGCAAATGCAAAGCAGCGTCGAGGTAGGGCAGGACGAGTCCAGGAAGGAATATGTTTCCACCTGTTCTCAAAATACAGACATGACAAACTTGTATGTTCTCGTGCCTATAGCTGCAAATAGCTGGTACTAATTTTGAAATACAAATAGCTTTCCGAGCAGCAAACTCCCGAAATGCTCCGTCTGTCACTCCAGGACCTTATCCTTCGAGTGAAGATATGCAATCTAGGAGATATTGAAGGCACACTATCCGAAGCAATGGATCCTCCATCTTCAAAAAATATCCGGCGCGCTATTGAATCCCTAAAGACGGTGAAAGCTCTTACTGGAACTGAGACATTAACACCACTAGGGAAGCAATTGGCTAAGCTGCCGCTGGATGTGTTCCTCGGCAAGCTCATCCTATATGGAGCCTTCTTCAAATGCGTGGATGCAGCTGTGAGCATTGCTGCAATTCTTTCTAGCAAATCGCCTTTCTTGAACGATATCAATCGTAAAAGCCAGATCGAAGCTTCAAGGAAAGCATTCGAACGAGGTATTCATATTCTAACCGCTCCATAGGCAACGAAATGACTTAACTGACACTTATTTTGAAGGCAATTCTGACCTGCTTACGATTTACAACGCCTACTGTGCATGGAAAAAGCACCGAGCAGACAAGAATGAGTTCAATTTCTGCCGAAAAAATCACCTGAGCCCCCAAGCATTGCTCAACATTGAAGATGTGAAGACACAACTTCTGGTGTCCGTGGCGGATACTGGGTTACTGAAGTTAAATAATGAAGACCAATTGGCATTGAATAGGTGTGATTTTTCGTTTGGATCTGTTTAACGATGCGCAGCCTCTAACCTTGTGACGACATAGAGCAAGATACACCGGACGCAAACGACAGTTCTTCGTTGCCCCCGAACAAGTGGATATCAATAGCAGCAACGATACGATCGTCAATTCGGTGATTGCTTGGAGTTTTTACCCAAGACTTCTCACCCGTCATGATAAAGGGTGGAGAAACGTGAGCAACAACCAGTCGGTTGTTCTACATTCGGCTTCAGTAAACAAACACACGGACAATCCGCTGAAGTGGCTCTCCTACTATCATATTATGCAGTCTCGGAACAGAAACTATAATGCACATGAGACCAGTGCAGTGGAAGAGCTTGCAATCGCGCTGTGCTGTGGAGATGTAGAATTTAAGGTGACATGATTTCCATTATTTCCAATCTAAATTTACTGTGCAAAAGTGGCTAACTCTATTTCAAGATGGACGCTGGAATCATATCTCTCGATGGCAACCGGGTTAGGTTCAAGGTGCGCGACTGGAAGACCATGCTTGCTCTCCGGGTTTTAAGCACTCGGATCAGAGAAGTCATTGCCCAGGCACTCAAGACGCCGAAGAAAGAACTCTCCGCGGATCATAGGCAGTGGCTTGGTCTATTTTTACAAGTCCTAGAGGCAAAAAAGAAACCAGACAGCTCGGAATACATAACGATGTGAGACGAGAAAAGGTTTTCGAAAAAAAAGAAAGAAAGAAAGAAAGAAAGCAAGAAAGAAAATCTGAGTGGTCTGGCGGGATAATCTAAATGAAATGATACTCCCGAAGTGACACCTAGTTTGGCCGTTTCCTTTTATTCTCATGTACGTAGTATAATTGCTAGAGTTTGATTTGCATGTCAGATATTCGGGCTTGATAGAGTGCGGTGTTCTGCTTGTCACTGCATATTTTAGTCTGGCCAAAGGGGGCCGGATAGCATAACATGTTCATGCATAAAATTGGGGTTAGAAAGCAAAGCAATGCCAGTCACAGCTGTGAAGCGGTCTCAAGGGCCTGGTCAGTCAAACGCTCTATCACGATTTTCCTCCTATTGGCTTTTGCTCTGGTCCATGGATGATAGCAATATGCTAGGTCAAGTCAACAAGTGCATGATCCGGCCAGGAGACGAATAGAAGCAAGCGAGTTTGACGCGTTGTCTACCCTCTGTACCTCCAAGAAACATCCAACAAGCAGCCAATGTATAGCCAAGTTGGTTTCGTAGTGGCACAGCAGTGACAGGTAGGCAGGCTTGTTGGGTTGATGATAGCTGCGGGTAGCCGTGTAGGTACAACCATCTCTTCAACTCCGTGGAGCTGTGGGTGATGCCTTTCGTGTAGCCCAGGGGGGGAAAGCATGGTATGCAGAGTCATCAGATCATTGCATATTGGTACTTTGATGGTAGTGACAATGAAGTTGTTGCTGATATGCAATTCGCAGCTGAATGACCGTGAGACCGCCACAAATTGAGGTAACTAAACTACAAACATCTGGAAATAGGACAGGAACAACGGAGCTAAGACATCGACGGGGATATTACATATATATCTTTCTTTAGGAGAGCCGTCTAAAATGCAACTAATTAGCCATTCGAGCTCCGGAAGCAAAACGCAACGCAGCCGGAGTAGCACAGGTAGATGTACAGGAAGAAGCAAAGTGCATGTAGAAAATGCACATCTGACCAAAGGTGACGCGGGGCTTGCCCTGCATGAAAAGCTCAACAAAGAGGGAACGAAAGACTTTTTCAGGGTCAAAGGGTGCATAACTACTCTGTACCGAATAGCACAAAGAAAGGGGAGGATCAGTTCTGGGGGAGGCCGAATTGGTAGATGAGGCGTAGCTTGGTTAGTAAAAAGGGTGGCGAATATACCAAATTCGAAAGACACCGGACCAACGAAAAGGGGAGAAGAAGATGGGTACGGAGTGAAATAGAGAGCAGTGACCTCGCATCTACTCCGCAATTTGCTTATTCTTTCTTCCTCCTTCTCTTATCTGGTGTCCAACTTGGCTAACTATGTGTCTTGTCAAATGGGCGATTTTGACAGGTGATTCAAGTGGAATTGACGGACCACCAGGAGGAAGAACGAGTCGATCGATCCGGCAGTGATCGAGAAAGATCCTGCCTGCTGGCTCTGGGATAGCATAGGGGAGGCCCGGCCGTGGGTTGGGCAAAGCTACGTGGCACGTCTGGGCTGTGAGATATCGCCATATGTTTATTTTAACTCCAGCTCAACTGCGGTTTGTGTCGATATAAAATTTCCCTCCAGCAAGATTTTTCTATCATCTGGGCTATATTTCCTTTTTGGCTGCGGTTTTCTTTTATTTCTTCCTCTCTTTGAACAGGTCTGAACGGCGCGGTATGTCGGCCGGTAGTGGTAATAGTACTTCTGTACCTGGTACGGAAAAAAAAGTAGAGTAGGACATTGGCTGGTCCAAGAAGGAATGGAATACGAGAGATGTCGCGAATACAGCGAGAAGGGAAAAGGCTTCAAGGGGCAGGGAGAATTTTTCTTTCCTTTCGTCCATGTGGGTGTGAGAGTAGCACAGGGTGTATACATTATCATGACATGGCTGGCATCGGTAAAGGGGCTGGGTGGGAAGTGAAAAAAAGGGGGTGGATTGAATGACAATTGAAATCAGCACCGGAGTTGTCAGTCTTCGGCCCCAAACAGCACAAGCAAGGTGGAAGATCTGATGGGGAGGATGGAGACAAGTTCGGAGTACGTCCAGGGAAAGGGATATCAGCCTTGTAAGGATGTTGCAGGGTCCAAGGCCATTTTCCCTTCGCCGTTGGAATTGATAGCCCGTGTGACTCTGGGACCGGAATATAACCAGGGAAAGGAAAAGGAAAAAGGGTCCAGCTGCAACTGGCTGACACTGCTCGATTTCCTCAAGGTCTCGTGCAACTAACCTGCTGGGTATCAAGGGAGAGATCATGATTCGATCATGGCAGGAGAATTGATATCAAACTAAGCCGTAAAGCAGGAGGGAAAATGGAGACAGCATGGATACTTGGAAACTGAGTCAGGGTAACTAATCCTGCAATTGAGGAAGCCGACTGGCATTATATTGTCTGTAGGGAATCATATATACAGCCTGAACTGAGGGCCCAATCGGTATAGGGCAAAGGAAAATAAAAATCCTGGTTGCGAATACTCTGTAAACGAGGCTACTCCCTTCCCTCCCCTATCCTCAACTCGCTTAACGCTGGTGATAGCTCTAGTCTTCTGATTCGGGCCGAGAATAAACAAGCGGGAAAAGGCCAAGTAGGATGCGTCTCTTTCTCTGTTCTCTCTCTAACTACTCACCCGCTCTCTCCTGGACGGGTGAAGAAGGTATGATATGCAGCAAAATCGGCTGTACCAGGTAGGAAGATCGCCGATTGGTGAAGATGCGGAAGACGAGCAGCATCAGTCGGAGATCTGCGAGCAATCGGTAGTATGGAACTGGCTTATTGGTTAGGGGGTACATGAATGTACGCATCAGAAAATACCCCGTGCATAATACGTACATATATATACATCCATCCTGCAACATGGTATGTATGTACGTCCGTTGAGGCAGTCCGGTGTCTGTAAGTTAATAATTTGCAGCACTCCTTGCTCCGACTCCAGCACGGAGGAGATTTGGTCAGGGGGAAGACACGAAAAGCAAAGAAAGGGCCAAATAATCAGAGAGAGAGAGAGAGAAAGAAAGAGAGGGCAGAGGAAGGAAAAGCAAAGAGAGGAAAAGAAAAATGCAGAGCCAGGACTGGTCAGGCCCGTGGGACAGGAGATTACGATTCGTACTGGCCTGGCCTGGCTGTCGAGCAAACGAGTCTTCCGCTGAGACTGAGACTGAGACTGAGACTGAGTCTGTCTTCTGTCTGTCTGTCTGCCTGCCTGCCTGCCTGTCTGTCTGGTACACCGGGGTGCGTTTGCAAAGCCTGAGGATATCCATCTCATCTCCCCTTTTGGGGTCTCAGGGCTCAACTCCCCAGGTCTCAAGTGGCATGTATAGTAGTGGGCGTATGCTCCTTAACCCGCAGCGAGCATCCATCCTGTTAGAAGGCCGGTGTCACGAAAAAAAGAAGACGATATGAGTGCCTTGCATCCGTCGGGTGATATCTGGGCTCTGCCATGGCCGGACGGGTGTATTTTTCTCGCGCTCGCTGGCCATCCCCGTCGCTTAGTTACCGTAACTAAGATGATATAAGGGAGGCAAAACGAGAGCTGCATGTAGGAGTGCATGAAGCGTGCTTGGTTATGTACCGGGTTGAGTGAAGATATCTGATATCTCACCCCCTTAGCCATCCAACTCCACTGCTCGCTGTTTCGTGCTGGCTTGATATCAAAGTGTTCAGGGGCAAAGTAGATGCATCATCAGGAGTTGGTAGCAGCAGCAACTCTTCATGCATGCATCATAATCGTCTTCAACGTTAATCATCGCCTTCATAAGCATCATCATCTTCATAATCATAATCATAATCATAATCATCTTCACCGCCGGGAGGTCGTCCGCTGCTCGCCACTGCAGGAGGGCTAAGCAACCAGTTCCACGGACGACGTGGAGATCACTTGGATGCGCTGTGTGTGCTCGTCTTGCTATTCCTTTTTTTTTTTTTTTTATTCCTGATATTATAATCATTATTTTATCACTAGGTACTTTAAGTATTATCATGATTCTTTTTTATTTATTTTTATTTATTTTTTTTTTTGTTCTCTATTTATTTTTATTTCAATACTCGCATATGCAACGGCGGGTGGGTGCAGCTGAAACCCGCCATGACCATCACCGCGCTCTCTTCTTTGCTTTTTCACCTTTTGCGACCATCTCTCATCTCTGCTTATGATCCCGACCTGATATCAGGCCGGCCAGGGAGGTACTTACTCTCGCTATGAAGGTAAGTAGTTATGGAGTCGTTGCTGACTCGGCTCGCCTGCTCCAGTCCCGAGGACTCCGTACTGACGTGCAGACTGAGACGAGACGTCTGAGAAGAGAGACGACCGAGAGACCAGGCACCGGGTGAATAATCGGCCTAGGGAAAGGAAATGACTGCCGTCCCGATCACATCGCTTCTGCCATGGGCGCGTAAGCAGAAGAAGATCACAGCTCGTTCGTTCTCCCTGCCCCGGAGTCTCCGGCCACAGAGCAGAAAGTACGGGGTTGCGACTGGCCCCTGGTGGAGCAGCGAATCTTCAAGAGACGACGGCGGCGGCGGCGAGCGAGCGAGCAGAGAGACGGCCATCTGATGTCCGGCGCGTATGTATGCGGTGTCTGGCTGTCTGTTATGCCACAGTACGAATTTGCATTACGGCTGGTACTTTGATAACGAAGTCTATACTGATATACGGAGGGACCATCTGGCCCCCAGCGAGTGACGGCCGCGACGTGGAAGTATCAAGCTCAGCCTGGGAACACAGAATACCCGCTCCACCCTCTGCTGGGATGAAGGATGTTACGGGGCAGGGAGAGGCCAGCAGACGACGGGGGACGGCGGCCAGAGGTACCAGTGACCTTGCCGGCAGGGCGCTGTTGGGCTGCGCAGGCTGGTCAAGGGTACCTTTTGCCCGAGTACTGCGTCACTCTCGCCCAGGCCAGCATATCCATCCATCGCCATCCCCCCCATTTCCCATTTTACGATTCTCCAGCTCAACCACCAAGAAAAGGAAACGGGATGTTCCAAGGACAACTGGCCAGGAGCGAGCCGGAAGGTGGGCGCCAGCAGACTGGCTATCCATCTTTCTATCCCTCTCGCTGGCTGGCTGGCTGGCTGGCTGCCCTTTGGCCCATTTGACTTCCGGGGGCTCTCCTCCTTTCTTTTTCCTGCGCTGCTTCCTCTGCCCTCTGCTTCGTTCGTCCTCTTATTAACTGTTCTTTTTCTTTTTTCTCATTCTCTCTCTGTCTCTTCTTGTGCTTAACTCGATGGCGTTTAGAGCTCGTTGACGTGGTCGCTTTCCCGTCCACTCGTTTTTTATGCGCCCAGCCCGCGATATCCACTTCCCACCCATCCACCGCCAGCTTTGGCTCGACGATGGCAGCAAGGTGAGCATGGCTGGTCGGTCGTTTTGGTGCCAGCTTCGACCTTTGGGGTGAAAGAGAATTCCGCGCTGCAAGTTGGCCCATCCGAACGCCGGCGCGAGAGCGAATTATCCATCCTTTATGTGCTGGTTATCGTCGTCGTCAACTATGGAGTAGCGAACGAGTCTAACTCAACTACCAGAATCCTCTCTCCTACTACTAACTATACTTCCGTTCTGGAGTAATATACGGGGGCAATATTCAAGCACATTCGACGGAGAAAAATGGCCACCTCCCCCCCCCCCCCCTTGATAACGACTTGCTGACTCGCCAAACGGAATCAATGCTTAGGATGAGTTAATTAATAATTCACTAACTATAGCAATGAAATCCCCAACGGAGCAAGTATTCCTTCATAGGACAAAAGTTGACACTAATAAACTAGCATGAACAGGCATCGTGGGGATGGTGATTTTCACATACCTTTTTTTGGCCGCTGTTCGCACTTCGCTCGTCACCTCTCGCCTTTTGCTTTTTTTTTTTTCCCTTCTCTCTCTCTTTCTCCTTCTATCTCTCCCCCTTCTCTCTCTGTCTGCTCATCTTTTTGCTTTTCTTTTGAAAGGGACCGCCACGTAGCAGGCTGCCCGGGGGGTGGGAGGGGAGACAGGAAAAAGAGAAGGCAGAAAGATGGGATTGGGGAGAGAGGAAGCAAGACTGAGCAAAAAAGTGGACGGTCGTTTATGATCTGGACCTCTCGCGCCTGCTCGCCTATTGAACAGGTTGTTGTACTGTACTCCGGACTCCGTACCGGGGGTGCATGGCATGCGCTGGCCATGTACATCGACTTGCCTCTACATGTACTTACCGCGGTACATAACAAGGTAGCAAGGTAGTTTTAGGGGAGGTGATGATGCTGGAGGTGCATTATTCGGCATCATGCTCATGCGGCCTTCTTCTTCTTCTTCATCTTTTTTTTTTTATTTCCCCTTTGCTTTTCTGTTTGCTTCCTTGTCTGCTTGAACGCACAGTCTCTTCTCACTACGGAGTACTACTACTCTCGCTCTCTCAACCTCGCTGGCTCTCCACCTGTCCGCCGCCAGCTTTGACCTCCGAAGTCTGGAGTACATATGTGCCGCCGGTGAGCCCACCATCGAGCCCACAGGAAGGCAAAAAAGCAAGCAAAGAGCAGAAAACAGTACAGAAAAAAACAAAAACAGTACAAGAAGCCAGGCAGGCAGGCAGGCAGGCAATTCTCCGCAGAAAAAGAAGCAAAAATACACAGACGAAACGCAAAAAGGAAAAAAAAGAAGGAAAGCAAAAAGAAAAAGAAACGCAGATAGAAAAAAAAATGGGCGATGAAGCGAGGACAAGGTTGACATCCTGGCGTATCGCTCCCGTCTTTCGCCAGGGGGGTCTTGTTGGCCCAGATAGCCTGAGCAAAAAGGAGCAACCATCGAGATGTCGGGGGAGGGCAGAGTGGACAGATGGGAAGGACAGCAGCCGGGCGAGAGATCCCTCTCCCGGAAGCTACTGCACGTATATCCCTCCTTGTGATATATATCGGCTCCCTTATTATATCTCGATACTTACATACGGAGTAACCTGGCTGTGTACTTATAGTACACACAACTACGACTCCATAAAGAGTGTTATATAACTATACTCCGTACCCTCCTTTTTTTTCAAGCGTGGGGTAAGCGAGCGCTCTGCATGGCTGTCAATGCTGGATATGCTGCGAGAAGCTCTGCTTGTCTATATCTGGATGCAGTCCGATACTTTTCATGCCTCATGCTGCATGCTTCTGCTGCTGCTGGTTGCTGCTGGTTTGCCGGTGGAACCAACCGTGACGCCCTCGACCAGCGGGGCCTCCCTCCCGGCTGCAATGCAAATCAGATCCAGAGTTCGGTGGTTTTCACCCATTTTTACCTTTTTTGCTTGCTTTCTTTTTCCTTGACCTTCACACGCTCTCGAAGGCTGTTCGTTCGTTCGTATCGTACGGCGATATGGAGAAAATACGGGACTGGAAACGTTGCTAGAGAAGTATCCCCCCTCCCCAGCCAGGTGTCCTTTTGACCTCCTGCTCCTCCAGATCAGCAGATGGAGTGTGATCTGAAGGGGAGGGGGGGGGGGGGGAACTGGCCGGGTATTTCCCACATTTAGGATTCAATATACACATCCCATAGCCTCCTCGTGAGCTGGTTGTGTTTGTAACAACGGCTAATATATGCTCGCTGTTTTCCTGGTCCAAGGCTGCTAGCTAGTCAAAAACTAGTTGCTTCCATGGCTCTTCCATCCACGGCTCTGGCTCCGGCTGGACAGCAAACGAAGGCCCAAGGTAGTTGAACTAGTTGGACATGGTCCCTCGATCGATGCCTGGTTTGGGATACTCGAGTACTCCGTACTACTCTTCTCTGTTGTTACAACGCACAAAACGGACTGATGGCGTTATGGGCTTGAGTTGACGAGTAAGTTAACTCGTGCTGGAGCCCCGAAGGTTCCTGCAGTCGCTTGTTAAACTCCGTGGGAGGCCCATGACCCAGACAGCAGACAGCAGACAGCAGGACCGACAGCAGAGAGGGAGACAACCCAGAGACAGCAGACACCGAGGGTATAGTTGATGGACTGGCATACTTACAAGCATGCCTCCTATCCCCATGCCATTCATGTCCATGCTTCTGTTCATGCGTGATCAAGGTTACCGGCCTGAAGTAACTAACGGAGTATATGTACGCATATACGCGATGTATGTATGCGCTCCGTATGTACAATGTATACGGTGCATCAGGCTAAACTGCCGGATGGCAACATGTATGTTCCATGCAATTCATTCTCCCGCCAGGATGCAATGCTAGCTTAATTTATCCTACCTGGTCAGTGTCACTCATGCTTCTTCTTGTTCTTCCTTCTTCCCTTGACTAATTAAGACTTAATATGGTTCAACATAACTCTGGAGCTTGCTTGACCTTGCAACAATCCGTCCATCCTAAACTGTCTCGTTATTGGCGGCGGATATCAACCGTCCGGCCGCGCTGTCATCGAAGCATGTCATCATCATCAGGAGAACGGACGGGGAAGGACATGTGGGTATTATTCCTCGGAGTGGACTGACTCGTGAGAATAATGCAAATAGTTTACATTATTGACTCCATCACCAAGGCCGATAGCAAGGAAAGTAATTTATATTACTTATCATTTACTCACGTCGATGTGCACTGCCCTTACTTAACGATGTCATGCTATGTAATGCCATGCCATGTAGAGCGGGCCGTGGATAGCGAAAACCTTCAGCAGGGCCTAAAAATAACAGAAACGAGCCTGGTTGGTGAGCAGGTTCACCATCAAGACAGTGCTTGCGTTCTGCTCCGTTCGTGATAAAACGATAGACTGACGCAAGGGAAGGGATTATTGTTGGGGGAGGGAAGGGGAAGCCAAAAAAAAAAAGGGGGGGGGGGGGAGGCTTCCTTCGTTTCAACGATGCAAGGAGACCAAACCAGCACAACCCGGAACGACCAGACACAGACTAGATAACTGAAGAATGACTGACTGGCCAGGCTAGTCCGTGATGGATGTTGCCTAAGCCCCGTTATCGGGCCTTGCGCCCTTTGCTGACCTGGCCCACGGAGCAATTAATCAAAAAGAGAAGAGACGGACTAGCTTGTTAGCTGTTAT